ATATATTAATACATATAAATAGATCTGTTTTAAAGTTGAGAGTCTAACAATGTTGTAGGCAGTCAGCAATCAATGTATAAATGGATTTCTCTGAAAATACTTACTTCTTTGGAGAAGCTATAACTGGCCATATAGACTAGTAATAACCTGGTTGGGGATAAGGTTAGGTGAGGTGTTTCTGTGTTTATTGCGAGATCTCTCTATGAAAGTGATTTGTGTTTTGGATTCTATTCGCTCATGAGTTCAAGCGAGCACGTGTACGAGCGCACGCCTGGTTGCAATCTTAAAACCGCAACATGAGTGGCCGCTGGAAATTCCATAATGCCCCTTTAATGTTAACATTAATTCCACACCCAAACTTACAGCTCCATTAAATAAAATAGAAAGTTCAATTAACTTAACGTTATGTTACTGCAATTTTTGTTTCAAGATTCACCACTTATCAGATATTAATTATGAAGCAGCTGCCGGGTCAGCAGACAGACACAGCAATCCCTCAACAGCCTCTTGTAACGTTAAATTTGGTCTTATACAAGTGAACTGCACTCACCACATTCAGAGCTACAACTGAAGAGTCTGTGTAAAATGTCACATAAAATATCAGCGCTAACGTATTGCATCCAGTCCAGTCCTGAACAGTCTAATGTCAAAGCTGCAAGGAAAATTGAGATCTGGTGTCAAACTAAACATTCTCGAATCGATGACAGTCCTTCATTTCAAAATGGAGGTTTGTGGTGGTTTTCGCGGTCTGTTAATATTACTGTATTTAGATTTAGAGTAATATTTTCCCAGAATGCATTGAAAATCTACAGTAACATACTGTCCACCGCTTATACAGTTGGAAACAGTTAAAAATACAGTAATAATACTTAAAAGTATAAAAATAAATTCAGTGTATAGTCTGACGATGTTATAACTGACCATGGAGTCGATCACTTGGTCATCCATGTTACTGTTTGCAGGCCTGCATTAACCTGCAGTTAGGCCTGAGCCTCAGAGGTTTTGTAGGCCCACAATAAAAACAATAAAAATGTCTAATGACCACGTTTATCTATACTTTGCGCGACAGTAAGCATGATCGGTATGCGTACAGTAAAGGCAATGAGTCACATTATGACCTTATGAATCTTTTCTAAGGAAGATGCTCCTACCAATAGCTACGGAGTCAACACTGTAAAATCAAGATCACAGTAATAATTAGTTGATCAGCAAACACATGAATGCAGCATTGTAGACAATATTTTGTCCTTGTAATCCACGTTTCCATTGCAAATGATAGCCTTTAGATATTATTGGAAACTATTCAGAATCCCCCTCCTTAAAGGGGAAGGGGATTAGTATCGTAATCATTTAATATTGCATTGCAAATAAATTTTCATACACACAAAGCGATTACAGTACTGGTCCTTCCAGGCTGGACATGCATTCTGCCATAAAACGTATCCGCCCTCTATAATGCACAGATGTTAATCTGATTCCAGTTATTTTGATTTTACAGTGTCACATTTTAGGGTCTAGTTCTAGCTTCCAAACAGTAACATGGATGATGAGCAAGTGATTAAATCCGTGGTCAGTTTTATCATTGTCAGACTATTGCAAAAAAATTTTGCTATAAGATAAATATAAAGTTCAACATAATGTAAATGTAAATCTGGAAGCCATGCATTAGCTTGCTTTGCAAAACCTTTTTGATAAAACAACAATACTAAAAGGATAAATAAACAATCTACATGTTATATTTATCAGTTACTTTGTTGAACTCGAAGTTCCTTCACAGCTGAATGCATGCGCTCCAACTGTCGGGGGAACGCCTTCTATCTGTGGTACCTACCTTGGCACGACACCGGCCGATCAGCAGCCTCTCTGTGCTGATACTGGAAATGTGCATGTGTATTGTTGTGGGTTACAGTCAAATGTGTCGTTTGACTTTCCAACAGCCATATACAGTATGTAATTTTGGGACACTTGACAATAAACCTATTTTGTCATTTAGGTATGAGGATGTGTTGCAGCAATGAACCATAATATACAGCTACTGCATTGATGATGCAGGTGTCATGCTTAAACTCATATTTTTATTTAAAAAGAAACAATATTTTAATTCAATTGATATTCTATAACATATATCTTACTCAAAACACAAATTACTTACATTTTGATAACAAATAAGTACTTACTAGGAGTAGAAATATGCAAAAAAATATTATCCTCTGAGGGTATCAAAATCACCAGGATTTTTTGCAACTTACAACTCAGCAGGGACATGTCACAAATGTGTTTCAACTCAATACACATCTGACTGGCTTACAATAAAAAGTGAAATTTATATAACAAGCTGCTGCATTGGAAGAAACATCTTACAGCAAAAAAAGTGATGATGTCTTTATAACAGACATTTCTCACTAATGGGCAATACACAAAGAGGAAATCAATTTGGAATTTAAAAATTGAGCATTTTATATTTAAAGTAGATCTCATGCAGATGTCTATGAAGATTCTCAGTCATCCAGGTCATAGTTATCCAACGAAGGTTAAAATGAAGGGCAACTGGACTTGGTTGAAGCTTCAACCAAGTCTAGTTCGTTGTATAGATCTCATGCAGTCTGAAAATCCTTCTACAGTTTAATGTTACTATTAAACAGTAGTTTAATGTTATAAGTGAGTTAAACACATTATAACCTTGTTAAATATTTAAAAACTAAGGGATAGTAAAATAAAACAAAATGAAATTTCATAATATGTATTTTATTTTACCTAAAAAACCATGAGACATGTCTTTCTCTAGTTAAAGTTGCTCCTGTGCAATAAATCGGTTATGTCAATAGAGGGCGATAGAGAGCAAAAAGTGTGTGTATTCAGAGTACGTACACACACCGAAAATCCACACACATTTTCGATTTTGGCATCTTTTTGAGGACCTCTCTGAAACTTTGAGAGAAGCATATAACAGACTCTGGAGGCCATTACAGTGAAAATAAAGTGAGGACCGGCCTAAATGTCCTCACTTTGCAAAATGGTCCTCACTCCAAAGGTTAAAAACCCTTGCTTGTCCTCACAAAGATAGCTGTACAAACACACACACACACACACACACACACACACACACACACACACACACACACACACACAGGTAAGACTCATTTTAATCAGGGTACCCGCGGGGTCTTAAAAGTTTTTAAAAGGGTGGTGATGGAGCAGTGGATGCCTTTGGTGTGAGAAACCTGGGTTCAAATCCCCACTGTACACTTAACCCCTCGTTGCTCCAAAGGCGTGTGATCTGTGACATATATAGCAATTGTAAGTCACTTTGGAGAAAAGCATCAGCTAAAATGAATAAATGTAATGTAAAAAAGTCTTAAATTTAATATTCTAAAAATAAATAAACCTTATAAGTGTTAAATTTCATTTTCATTTTTCTTGTCGTTTCATAGGATTACATAAATGCCGTAACATCATAAATAAATATCTTATGTGTGTTTGACTTTAGAATTTACTAGATGTGACTCGGATGTGATACGACAGTACAGATAACGTTACTGTTTACGTCAGTGTTTAGCTTTACACTGTGGACTGTGCACGAATCAGTCAGTTGTTAGGAAAGAAAAGAAAACGTCTCTGATGTGCTACTAACAAGCTTGTTAGCTCGTTGACTCATAATGTGCAAGTGTCTGAAGTACGGAAGGCCAGAAATGCGGACAAGTTGGTGGACGAGGCTGAGGGCAGTGGCGCTGAGGTTAGCACAACAAGCAGATTGGCGTGCGAGTCAGTCACAGCATGGCGAGCGGTAATGAAACAGTGGAGCTGGAAGACCTGTCTGCAGGTTCCTGATCAGTTAACGTTACAACAGCAGCAGAGAAAGTTGTGTATGAGATGAGGACTGTCTGTGTGTTGGCGTTGTTGTAGGGTAACGTTATGTGAATGGAAACATCCAACATGCTAATGCACATTAAACTACATCACCCAGATGCCCCGATCACCAGGACGAGGAAAAACAAACCGGAGCCCAACTCTTTATCCAATACTATATAATACTATATTTCAAGCAGTCGTTGGATGCAAAAACAGAACAGGATGAATAATCACTGAAGCAACTGGCAGCTAGGCACATTATATTGCATTACACTACCTTATCTAGCCAAGGTGTAACTAATTGGAACAACTCAAACTGCACAATTTATTTTATATGTTTGGTTTCACACCATAAGAGTTCTGACTGTGACAAATAATTTATTAATTTCATAGGTGTCATTTACACTGGGGATGCTGGAGATGTGTCTCCATCACTTTCTTTAAATTTGTTAAATATGATCTGAAAAATGGCTTACTACAAGAAATGTTAAAAGACAAATGAAAATGCTTTGAGAAAGGTTTATTTGCACAATAAAAAAAACATGCAGTGCAATGTAAATATAGAAGAAACAAATGTTGATTGTCCAAAAAACCCCAACTTAAGCTAAAAAAACAAGCTGCTGATTACATTATATTCTGTTCTGAAAATGTCTCCTGGTTGCAGGAAATTGAGTGTTTAATGCTCAGAATGTTCTAGGGGACCCCCAGACCCCCCATTTATATCAGCATTGAGTATTTCATCAAAATAGTGTTAAAATATCTTCTTGTCTTGTTCTCATGAACCCAATATTGTGCATCATGCATGTGAGCTAAGTGTATCGTCACACCCCTAATCTGAACCCCTATGTCCTCACCACTTTTCAACGTGATTTATTTTATGTTATCAGAGTACAATCACACCCCAAAAAGCTGTAGTGTTTGAAATAAAAATGTGAGTATTATAATAAAATGTTTTATTAAATTCAGGAAACTCATTTCTCGAGCTTAAAATTCATACAAATTTTCCATTATTATTATTCTTATTTTCCATTCAATTTCATCCTAGGTGGTATTATAAAGGTCTTAAAAAGTCTTAAATTTAACTTGGAGATTCCTGGGGGTACCCTGTTAATGTACATCCACCTGTTTGCCTCTCTGTACGTCCACCACAGAGCGCCACCCAGCCCAGGCTGTCCTACGCAGAGATGACAGAGGATTACCCACGTTACCCTGACATCCATGACTTGGACCTCGCCCTGCTCAACCCCCGCATGATAGTGGTACGACCCATTTAAACAGAGTCATAAGAGTCCACTTTTCCCCCAGTGGAGACACATAAAATAAGATGTTGTGATCTTTAAACATGTCTCCGCAGGACGTCACCCCCTACATGAACCCGTGTCCCTACACAGTGTCACCCAACACCCGCATCTGCCAGGTGTTCAACCTGTTCAGGACCATGGGCCTGCGACACTTACCTGTGGTCAACGCTGTGGGGGAGGTGAGTTGTTCTCCTCCAGAATGACTGGTTCCTCCGGTCTGAGCGGCTTCTGATGAGTCTGACTGAGCTCTTGTTTCTGCTGTCTCTTTCAGATTGTCGGAATAATCACAAGACATAATTTAACCCACGAGTTCCTGGTGGCCAAACTGCGACAGCACTACATCACCATTTGAGTCGACTCTGGACGTCCTGCCGTCCTCCTCCGACCCCCCCAGACTCTGTTCAGCCTGGTCCTGAGCCTCTTGTCTCTGTCCTTTCCTAACAGCATGTTCCCAAACACTTTCAGGGCTTTCACAACCACACACACGTTCTCCGTCACCCAGTCAGGAACACACTTCTCCAATAAGTGAAACCATTCAGTTGTATTTCACATTTCCAGTGTAGCGTTGTCAGCCTCCGATCCACCGGGCCGGACACATGTACTGTAGGTACCATACAACAGTTATGGAATAGATAATTGCTAATGTAACTGGAGGACTGAGAACAGGTTTCTTTTTTTAAATCAGGAGATCGCTTCGTTAGCAGCATCACACAGTCCCAACATGAATTATATCTGTGGTCTCCACACAGATGAAGACCAGCCCTGAAGATTTGTTCAGTGATTCTGACAGGTCTGAAGTTGAGCTCATTGGCTGCTGTTTCTGCTGGTTGGAGACGCAATTGACCAATCAGAGCTTGCTAGGCAGAATTCAGACTGAGGAAGTCATCGTTAGCTAGCTATAGAACTACATCTGGGAAAACATGCAAAACAGAAACAGAGCAGACTTGCAGTGGTGCTGTGCCATGCTTCTGACGGCCCATTATTCCAAACTCCAATAGTCTGAAAAATGTCTTACTGGACCTAAAGCCCATTTGTCAGCCCGTTACCCCGAAAAACAAATTCCCAATGCTCTGAAAATACCAGTTGTTAGTTCAGTGGCTGACCCCGAGTCTGTGGTGCTCAGTCGGCGCTGATTTTATTCCCTCGTTGGAAATTTGTCTGCGACAGTAACATCTTTTGAAATGTGGTTTGGTGGAAGGCTGGCAAATCCTATTAAAGGGTCATTTCGGCATGTTTAAACCAGGGCCCTGTTTCCACATATTTTAGGGTCAAAATGACTCGTAGGTACGAATCTGCAGCCGTGGCGTCCACAGAAAGTGCTTCTTCTGCCTGCAACAGGCTCAGGCTGTTACACCAGGTGTCTGACAGCATCATGGAAAGGATCCCTACAAGGGACTCCCGCTGACCCCCTTTGTTTTTAACAGGAAACTGAAGTCTTGCGAATCTGGCGAGGGGACAGTTGTTGCAGGAAGATGGTGGTGGAAACGAGGGAGAGGAGTTTGTTGTGTAGGTAGAGGAGCTGCTAGAATCTCCAACACAACAAACTCTTCTCTCCACCTCACATTACCACCAGCGTCTTTCTGCAACAACTGTCCTGTCACGTGATTTCAGAGTGAGACTTCAGTCCTGTTAAAAACAAAAGGGCTCAGCAGGAGTCCCTCGTAGGGATCCTTTCCATGACGCTGTCAGACACCTGGTGTAACAGTCTAAGCCTGTCTGTGTTTTTTTTGTTCCCTGAAGGAAAATGCTGTGACTGCCGGCTGAAGCAAACCTTTTCGTTCCTTCTAGTTTACAACACCAACAAGTGTGGGAACAGGGCCCAGGTTAAGACATACAGGAGTTACCATTTAAGAGCGAAACACCAGCCCATTCAGCGCCATGGACCGGGCCAACAGTCCCTGAACTGATACCTGGAGAGAGGGAAATCCAGCTTTCTGTCAGAAAGCCGTCAGGAGGTCAGGTGACGTAGTTTAAGATTATAAAGAGATCTGTAGGAAGGAGGTCGGGGTGGATGGATGGGTTTTTCACCCAGGAGACACGTGTCCTGTGTGAAACCAAAAGTCAACATTGATTTATTATTTTAACCCGACCATGATGTTTGGGCCGTCCCCCGAGCAGTGCTGAACAGACCCAGTCTTCATCAGAGAGGTAACATGAAGAGGATTTATAGTCTCCGCTCTGTTAACGGAGGAATCTCACATTAAAGTAATGCTGTTTGCTGCAGCTGCATCAGAGTGAGACATTAGTTTGAATTAATTTGAACTTGATTGTGTGACAGAGTGACTACCCAAGTGAAATATCAATATCACGTGCAAAGGTTTCCTTACTGCCTTCATGAACAAACTTTTATTTGACCTTTTCATTTAGCTTTATCAACGTTGTCACTGTAGCACTTTTACTTTTGTAGAGTAACTGGAACATGTGCACTACATGCAGGCTGCTAAAGACTGACCATATCACTTCATTCCAGTACGGACATACAGAAACATTTCTAACCACTGCAGCGGTCTACACACACATTAGCGTTTGTTTTGCACTTCTGATATGTTGTAGTATTTAGTGAGCTCAGTGTTAGCATGCGTCAGGGCTGAGAGGATGTGTGTCTGGCGCTCTCAGGTTTCTTATGTAAGAGGAAATTTGGACTGAATTTAATATTTCACATTAATCCTCAGTTATCAGTTTCATCAGCAGCAGGAGAGTCTCCCTGTCGTTTCATTCTCATTCCTAAAAGGGACTAAAAATCGAGTCGGAGCGAAGACAAGTAACAGGAAGTGGAACTGTGCTTTTATTGATGGACATGGAGTCCACTGTATGTCAGGTTTCTAACGGCTTATAACAAACCATGATGGCACATATATGTACATTCCTTATTTGTTTCATGTCTCTGCTTTATGTTTTATTTAAGAGATTATTTTTTATACTGTTTTATTGTTATGATTTGCTGCCTGTGAATAATTCACTGCATTTCTAAATGGACTGAGGCGGTCCTTAATAAAATTATTGTTTATAGTGAAGGCATTGCATTGTCTTCAATAAATATGTTATCCCATCTAAACTCCACACTTGGCGTGGCAGGTGGCGTGCTGGAGCAGTGTGCAGGAACATGTCCTGCTGCGAAGCATGTTTCATCTGACTTCCGTGGAGATTTAGCCGGCACCCTGCGCTTCTTTAGAAGTCTTTGTTTCTACAGATGCAGAGAACTGGCACAACAAGCTGCAGCGGTGGAATAAAGAGCAGAGAGACCTCTGTCTTGTGCCTTTATGATTGTTCAAATAAAGGTCCCTCTGTTCAATCACACAAAGTGTCTGCATCTTTATTTGTCTAGACTCAGATGAGGCTGCATGCACTGATTCCTGCTGTCTGTGTTCACTAGAGCTGAAAGGATTAGTTCAATCATTGATTTCATGGTCAGAAATAAGCAGAAGTAATATGGACAGTAATAGTTGTTTGCAGTGTTCACACTGTAAAAAAAGACTAATCATATTTCAAAAAACCCAGATGATCCCTGTAGCAGTATAGCGGCTCAGATCTTTGGACCTGTTGTCCAGCCTCCCTCAAGCTCATCCCATAGTTCCCACAGTTACCACAACATGGTCAACCACAGTAGCTCTGAATTCATCAGTTCTCATATTCCTGACTCCCCTCCTTCTCCCTCATCCTACTAAATCTCACCCTCTCCTCTTCTTACTTCTTCACCTCCTCTTCCTCCTCTAAATCTAACCTCTCTTCCTCTCTGTCCAAACATAAACAGCTGAGGCTGATGGGAATGCCATTTGTCTTGCAGGTATCTTAATATCAGGCACATTAAAAGGTTTGACATGATGGTGGGGCCAAATGAAGTCACAATAAGGATGGAGTTAGGAAGTTGTTAGGATGGATGGATGAAGGGTGACCATCACCAAAGTCACACAACATTGGTTGGCTGGTTCAACATATCCAGGACTGTGTATTTACTCTGGAACCAAAGTGCAGGCAACATTATAAAATCTCTAAAAGGCATCAACCTTTTAGAACCCCAATCAAGTTGTTCTGATTATTTCAAACTGGTTTACTGTGTTAAGCATTGTAAACGATTTAATAAATATTAATATTTTGAAGTCGTAAGGTACATTAGGTCATTAGTATTGATGGTTTCCTACTGCTCCATTAAACACCAGTACATGGTCCATTAACCATCAGAGCCCTGATTAGAAGGTGTTACTGTTCTGTTGGCTCCTTAAAGACTATCTCAACATCTACACGGCGCTGCAGTTGTAGTCGTAGTTTTCCTTGATGCTTGATATTTAATCTGTGCTGAGCTCTGCGGAGCCATGATGTGTGACAGCCCTGGGAATCTCATTATAGCGCAGGTGCACAAGCATTTACCCCTGCATGACTACTGACAGACCTGAGACCAGCAGATCGCCCAAACAGCTCAGGTACACTTCAGCATTAACCAGCTCTGACAGGAACAGGACAGAGGAGTGGAGACACAAAGCCTGAACAAGTCTCAGGAGAGAACCAACTGTGGTCCTGGACAGAGTCTTACATCCTTCATAATGAACATCATTGCACTCACAAGCTATAGACTCTGGGGCTTCTGGCTGTGTGAGAGACGGAGGTCTGTACAAAGACCAGGGCAGGGTTTCTCTAGAGCTTTATTTTGCTCTTAGACTCGTCTACTGCAAGTGAGATAGGCCTATATCATAAATACTATATATTTCCATCACTTCAGAGGACATTCACTGACTTACATTCATTCCCTGGAGTCTTCCTCTAACCAAGTCTTCACCCTAACATATAATGATTTACATTATGTGGACTTGAGGAAGGTAGTGTGACTGTGTAAACAGATTTATGTCCCCACAACATGAGTAAAACAAGCTCTGATCTGATCTGATGTCCAGCCCAACCCCTTCATTTATCTGGCCCCAGAGTTATTTTAAAGTTATTATGAAATGTGGCCCTCTAACTACATTAAAATGCAGTTCCCATTGTGAACACTAGGTGTCAGAGTCACTGTATGGTAGGAACAGTCCCAGAGCTGCCTTCTGGGTTCGATGAGTAGTGGAGACTATTGATCTCAGCCGATGTGACAGAATCTAATCAGGATTTCAGGAATTCAGATTGAGAAGAACATGAAGCTGCTCTCTCTGCCTCTCTGCTGATGAGGAAGAAGAAGGAGGACATGCAGTTACAAAGTAAAGTGATGATGCTCCGGCAGCAGCTCTGCAGCTGAGATGAAGCTCCATTTAAATATGTGAGTAAACTGAGGCCCCAGATGACTGACAGTCTTCACTACTACGAGGCTCAGCATCACTGTTCCCACCAGGATAATAACTTAAATAAAATCCTCCTACTGCAGCACAAACTGCTTCATACTCACTCATTAACAGGAAAGTCTGTTGGCCAGGGCTATATCTTCACAGCAGTGTTTCCTCAGTGTCTTTGCTGTGTGCTTCATTATGTTTTATTTTGTAGTTTGCAAACCACATAATGGCCCCAGCAGGATTGATGTGTGAAAAACAGGATGATGCAAGCTTATGGTGGGGGAAAAGGTTTTCATTTTTATGAATTTCTTTTTTATCATTGTAAATTGAGTTTATAGTTCAACATGTTCATAATGAATACAGTTCATATGAAGCTGGGGTGGTGGGTAAAGTCACTAAGACCTCATCATTCTGTGAAAAGTCCTCTCTAGTGTGAGACACTGAACTGACACTGAATTCAAACATATAGTGTTAGATTAGAGACTGACAAAAGGACACGTGATATTTATCCTGCAGGCCATCGTGCACAAAGAGGCGGTGAAAAAGTTACATACAACAAATGTGCACACACATAAAACCACAGACAGGCTAAACCTGGCCCTGATCTGAAGTCTGACTCAGATTAGTCCCAGAGGTGTTGCTTGGTAAAAGGAGCTCATTAAACATACTGAGCTGGTCTGTCCCTCCTCCTCCCCACCACCAACACCATCACACATCTGTCAAGACGATCGGACAAAATCAGAAGTCAGAGGAGAAACTCACGTCAGCATATTGAGATTATTAACATAATTTACACATCATGGAGTCTAATTTCTAACCTCACTGTAACCTTTTCATACCTCTTGACTTCACAGCTGTTGTAGTTTTAATTGATCACACTCCCTTACATCAGAGTATAATATCAAAGCGACTGCTACTAAATCCAGAGTCTCTCCAGATAACAGAGGAGGCAGGATCAACACACAGCAGCACAAACAGGGAAACACACACTGCCGTGGTGTTAGTGGCCTTCCCCCCCACTTTACTGCTGTGAGAGTCTTTGTCTCTTTGGGCCAGTTTGGAAGGTGACTTTTGGACTTTGCAAAATGTCAAACTGTTTTCCTGGCACTCACCTCCTCAGCTCCAGTGAGCATATCCATACATTTATAGCACTTTATATTCAAACAGCTGTAACTGACCCACTCAAACATCCTGATGAGGGATGATGATCTTTACGAGAGGCTCTTGTGGTGCAGCCCAGGCTGATTGGATGTCACGCTGTCATTTAGCTCCACTGATTCTAGCCAGTAACAAAGCCACACCTTTATCATGTGGGCTAATTAAAGCGTGGCCATAATGAGTGTGTCAATGTGTGCAGAGGTGGGTGGCTCTCTGTCATTAAACTGGATTAGCAAGGTAAGAGCAGGAAAAACATTCCTGTCTAACAATCTGTTAGCGGTGAACAAACCTCATGACTGCAGCTGCAGTTTCCTCCCCTGTGAAGGTGATATCATCTGCATGTGTTCATTAATTAATAATTATAATTTCACACAGAAGTGACCTAATGGCTGCAGGTTAATAAGTCAGATCTAATTGGATGAGCTGCAGAAGTTAAGACAGGGGTTAAAATGCAAGGTAGCATTTTAACCCCTGTCTTAACTCCTCCCTCGCCTCCCCGATGACTCTCGCAGACCTTCGTCTCTTACAAGACCGCTCTTCATTTTCAGCTTGGTCTCCTTCACAATGTCTAAACTCAGAAGTAGTCGCAATGTGACCTTGTTTAATTTCTGTGTTTGTGTTAACATTCAGTTAAAGATGACTGATGGCCAGGACAGATGAAAACAATAATAATATATAATAATAAAACAATAGTAAAACAATCACGTAAGTCTGTGTAACATATAATAATGTCTTTCCATAACACGTGGAGGTGGACAGTAAAATAGTTTTAAGCTTCCTTACTGAGTTACAGAGCAGTGCCGTTCAGAGGTGACGTGGATCCAGATGCAAACACACAAACACACACACACACACACACATTCACAAGTGTGTAACATACAGCACATATATGTATCCATGTGCACATAAAACTGAATATAAGCTGGTGACTGTCCTTTAGTACCTAGGCAGACTAACAGATGTGTTTTTAGTTTAATTTGAATGAGTCAACCGAGCGAGTCTCTCCAGTTTGGACAGGAAGATGATTCCAGAGAAGAGAAGCTTGGAAAGACGAGCCCTGCACCTGCTAATGTCTAATTTATTCTTGTGATACTCAGGAGAATAACAGGCACATGAGGAGTGACTAGATAAGTAGAGTGGTGCACATCCATGTAATATGTATAAGTTAAAGTCCTGGTTGGAAGTTGTCATTTGCTAATACCGGATTTAAGTGAGCCATAGAAAAGTGCTTCAACATCAGCCAGTGGGACGGATTTTGGCAATAAATGGAAACATGCAGTCTTTGTCATAGTTCAGAGTCAGGTTGTTGAATGTGTTCCTAACCTCCCTTGGACAGAGAACTAGCCTTTCAGTTTTCTCAGCATTTAAGAGCATCTCTTTTGTCTCTCTCTGCATTCTTCCAGTTTAACGAGCTGATGACAGCGTCAGACTTCATATAAATCTGAGTATCATCTGCAAAGATTTAATTTTATTAATTCAGTACCAAGGTGCAACAGAACAAGACCAAGCACAGATCCCTGTGGCACACCATGACTGACCTTAGTGCAGTTGTTTAAAACAAATCTGTGGGTTAAATTTAAACAGAGCCGTGTGAGTGAGACCATCTAACAGAATGTGGTGATCAGTCGAATGCTGCGCTCAGGTTTGGGAGCACCAGGACTGAAACTGAGCCGGAGTCTGAAGCAAGCAGTGAATCATTTAGTCAGAGCAGGTTCTGTCTGAACTGATGAGGATCATACAGATTACTGAATTAAATTATTGGATGATGCAGGTCATCAACTATTCGGAGTGAGTCGCTGGTTCAGTTCCCCGGCTGCCCCAGTCCAGTCAACGGCTCCAGATGGCTACCAGTGTTTGTGTTGATGAGCTCAGTATCATCGTTAACACTTT